TTTGAAGGGGGGATGGTTCAAAGTTGAGTTAAGCTTAACTCAACATAAGTCAATGCAAGTCAATGTAGTCAACTAAAAGTTTTATAAAGAAAATGTAAATTGAAGAAATGAAGGTTCTGGTGAAGTTTAAAATATTGAAATATGTAAGTACCTAGGTCAAAAATTTCTACTAGAATGAGTCATTTAGAAAAGAAAAATAAAACAAAAATCTATCTTTTTGAAAGCTATATTATTTTACTATGACTACCATATAGCTGTCATATTTTGATTTGATTATCATATTTTGACTAATTTTACAGCTGTTATTTATTACATACTATTCCTTCATATAAAAGTTTTTTCTAGAGTTCTTAAGAAGATGGGAAACAAGGAAAACAAAAAATCTATAAGAGTTGTAATGCAAAGAAATGTGAGAATATTAACTTTATGTCACTAGTACAATCTCTATATCACACTTCTAGTCCTTATTACTCATCCAAGAATGTAAAGACCACTGTCACTATTGACAAAAATACTTTTATTACTTCTAAAACAATAATCCAAAACAAGAGAAATGAAGAAATAAGTAGCATGGCTCCATAAAAAAATTTATAGCATTTTTTAATTTATATAATACTTTCATATAAAAACATCTACTTGCTTGATTATATCTCAATCTTCCTATAAGAGAAGACTAAGGTATATTTTGATAGTGAATACTCACTAGGAATTTTTAGGAGTCATTTATGAATAATAATAATAGAAATTAAAATCTTTCAAAAGACTCAAAAGTAATCATATTAAAGAATCAAGTCTCTCTACATTTCTAGGATTGAAAAATATTCTTGCATAAAAGAATGCCAGAGTGCCAATATACCCTACCATTATAATGTGGTTTATATTTCTCTATAGTCTATTTCCCTAGAAAGTTGGTATAAGTGTGCATATATATATATATATATATATATATAATAATTTAGAATTTTAGAAGCTCTAATGTTTATAAGTGAGTTATGATTATGAAGCCCTATTTTTGAGACTAACATTTCAAGAATCTGAGTATTGTCAGTGTCATAATAAATAAACCTCATTCCCAAGACAAAACTTAGTATATAAACTACCAAGAAAAGTTATGATCACTATAATTTTTTGTTGAGCTCATTATAATGTTGAAAGGTTTATATAGGAATCATTGAAAGAAAGACATCACTACTCATATTTGGCCACCCAGCATTTTATATTAATCTTCACCTCCATCCCTAAATTCTACTAATATTCCACCTTCACCTCGACATAGCAATCCTCTTTCTATTGGGAGCTCTAGTGAAGCTAAACTAAAGCTCTATATATATATAAAATTCTAGATCTTCCTATTAAAGAGGGATTGCCTCTAACACTTCAAAAGTAATGCCACATATTTTTGCAAGATCTTGCTTCTGACATTGCAAGATGGTTTGAAAGCATAAAACACTATTATATTCAGTGTCTAATATGCTACTTATTTTTGGACAAGACAAATGGTTTCATGGGTCTACAAATTTTTCTTAAGCATTTTAGCAAGTCTAGAAAATATGCATCTGTGGATGTACAATAAATTCAAGAATAAGTTACAAACACATAAAACACATACCCACATATATATACATATACATATAAATATATATAATCAAATGATATTAGTTGTAGGTAACATATCTTATTATAGAGTGGAATATCCACTATAAAATGATTATAAAAAAGAATGTATTACAAGTGTAGTGTTCAATTTAGGAATGACTCAAAAGAAGAAAATGGTTAGGCTCTCTTGGCAGCCTTCAGATCAACACAAAATTAATGGTAACCAATGAACACATTGAGAATTTGATTTTAAGGTGCCTAATATGCCTTTTATTTTAGGTCAGAAATTCATTTCTATAGGCTTGAATAGTTTTCTTAAGCACTACCATAATTGCTGAATAAATGGTGTTATCACTTTTTATATAATTATTTATAAGATGTTAAAAGATGAGATACACACAAGTGCTATAAAGTGATTGTGGTAGGCAAAAATGACAATTTGCAATTATGATATCTAACACTATCACTAACATCCGACATATAATAGGCTTTTCATTTCATGTAAGAATGCAATTAACTTTCTTCTACCCCATCATTAATATATTGATTTCTTTTACACCTCTTTCTATATTGGTATTGTGGGGAAGATTCACCTTGCATTTGTTGAGCCACAGCTTCAGTATAGTCAAGGAGACTTCCAAAGCCTCCAATTTTAGAAACTTTAGGTGACTGTAATCTATAAAATAGAACTAAACATGTATTGCATCTTAATAAATATAATTTACCTCCTTGAGGTTGGAAGTAGCTCATAAAATTCTTTGAGCCAGTGTTTGAAAAAATGATGTTCTTCAATAGCAAATATTAACTTACCAAAGTCACATATTATCTCCACCATAGAACTACTACCTACTATGCAATCAATCACAACACCATTTGGTGGGCAATACAGTTCAAGTAAGATTTACATTGCCAATAGAGCTTGAAATCAATACTTATGAAATGTGTTGCTGATTTGTTTGTCCACAAGATTGAGTATGATGTCAGTGGAATTGTTGTATCCAAGCAGAATGTGTGCTGCATGGTCATTATCATGAAACCCATCATGCATGTTTCTATAGAAGGCATGATACATCATAACCTAGAAAATAAAAAAGTTTAGAAATTAGATAAATATAAAATACCTACTCACCTTTTTAGACTTGCTTTAGACACCCCTAGTATCGATGCCAACAAGATCCACAATTCACCCAAAAGAGAATGACTTAAAATAAACTTTTATTGCACACATCATAAGCTTATACATCTATTTAGGGTTGTTTGGTAAAATGAAGATGATAAAGTTAGGTTCAAACATAAGTGCTTCTAATAAAAAGAATATATCATATATGTGGTTGAGTGTAAGAAAATTCCAATCCTTGACTTTCCCATCAATATTTAAAAGACCATTTGGAAAGTAAAAAAGAATGAAGTTTGCAATTGGGAGGGCCTTTGTATCTTTCAGCACTAACAGTCAAACTGACATTGTATATCCATATTCATATTGTCTTTTGTGAAAGATGTCAGGAATCTATTGTAAGAGCCAATAAAGACACTCACAGTACCTTGGTGTATTATTGGGGAAACAAGATAAACCTATTGAAGAGTTAAGTGAATGAAAAAAGCAAGGAATAATATATACTATCATATAGCATGTTGTCAATAAGAGTTCCTCCAACTCCTCATCACGAGCATCTCGTCTAGTTAAAATGAAATATAATCATTACTATAAAAAACATGTGTTACCACTTTTTGTTTGTTAAAGTCACTTTTGCTTACCTTGAGGTCAACATGATATTTTGTGAACCACTTGATCATCGTTATTTATTAGTGTCATTACTAGCATTGATAACTTCCTCCTGGTCAAATGTAGGGGTTGCCTTCCCTAGGAGCTTCAACTCTTAAGAGCATTTGATTTTTTGTGCCTTTAGAAATCTTACAAATATTGTTGGGTACATTCTTCCATCTTTTACACCCTTTGTAACAAGTCAAGTGCAAATTAATCCCTCAAATGGTATACCTTTATATCAAAGATACCTGTAAATAATATCAATCATAAGTTGTTATGCTAGTAGACTTTTGTAGAAGCCATTGATCCCTTCCAATGATGTGTTGACATAGGTGTTGAAAGACATGAATGTGCCATCTGGATCATTACCAATATGTAGTTTCTTATCATATTCTTAAATACTTATGGCAAACTTTTCTCTTTATTCATCAAATAGATATTAAGGAACTCTAAAGTCTTTATCTATTACTTGTATAGAAGCCTATAATGATGATCTTGCTACACTTGTCTGGCACTCACACACTCAAAATGATGGTATAACATTTTTAACAAACCAATCAGTTTCATGCTCACTATGTGGTATAAAGTATATATTTCCCTTTCATTTTATAAAGGCTTCTTGTTATTGTTTTGGTTTTTAGTAAAGGTCAAGCAAGATGCTTATGAATTTACACATCTGAAGAAGAGTCAAGAAGAGCTTTTAATTGAGCTCATTCAAATTGAGTATAAAATTCAATATGTAAAGTCTTTAAAATTGAAGAAATTAGTATGCATTGCAAACAATTATAAACCAAAGGAGTGGCTAGAGACTATAATCAAAATTTCTGCTCATGAATGTAAGTTTCTTATCACAAGCTTCATTTTTTAAATTACACATATATTACTTTTGTAGTCAACAAAACTCCAGATAACATAATTTACAATATCACATTCAAGTCTGCCAAATAATAGAGTTGCTTGATATCATGGACAAGGTTCTATTTTTGAACAGCAAATTGCCCAAGCTTGCATTTAATTATGGCAAAACAAGTTAAAGTAGAGTTTAAGGTGAAATTATAACACTTACGCATTAATATTTTGGTAAGCCAAGATAAGTCTATTGACATCTAAAGGTCCCCTTATATAGATATTGTTGACTAGAACATTGATAATTTAATGTTGATCTCAAGGATTATTCAACTTTGAATAGACATATCTAATGCTGCCATTAGAGTGTCCTCATGTAGCTATTGAGAATTTAAAATATAGATAAAATATTTGGATACAGAATTAATAAATATATAGAGATAAATAATTTTATTTATTGGTGCTTAGGATTTTTTAGTTCCTGCTGATGGACAAAATTCAGTCTCAATTGACATATCCATCCATAACTACTATAATTAGCATATTTACCTTGGAATGCATAAATATAAATGTAATAGGTTGTGGAATTTCAAATTTTATAATTTTACATCAAATTCAGTGAAAAAAGAACAAAAATTATAAGAAAATCAATGCTAGGAAATCCCCACTCTAATTATACTATATAAGCATCCCCAATGAATGTGAATAGAAATAATTTTCTAAAGAAAGGAGTTAAGTTGAAATATATTGTGTAAAATCATCAGTATCTTCAAAACTATTCAATATAGAACCATTACAGTATTTTACAGGTTCCAAGTAATGACCCCCATGAAACAATGTCTGGTTGATAAGGCATTGTGTAAAAAAGCTCTCTTAAGATACCACTCCTCCCTAAAATATCTGCCATAGATCCAAAATGCTCAATATTGGGATGAATTGCATAGTCGAAAAGCATTCTGCTGAATTCCCTCTGCCCTCTTTTAAGCAGCCCAATGTGATCGCACACACACAGCACCATCGCAAATGTCTTCCCATTGGCACTCACGGCATTCACAGCCATCTCCTGCAAAAATTCCAAAGCGCATCCACCATTACCCGCATAGACGAATGCTGCCAGCATTGAATTCCACGATATTTCATCTAATTCTGGCATAGAATCAAAGAATCGCCTCGATTCTAAGAGAGCCCCTGTTTGTGCATAAGCACCAAGCATTGCATTCCAGGATGCCAAGCTCCGATCGAGCATCAAATCATGCATTCTCTTGGCATGGGCGATCATTCCACTTGATGCATAGGCGCCCACCATTGCGTTCCATGAGATTGTATCGTGCTCCGGCATCTGATCAAACAGCGCCCTGGCCTCTTCCACCATAGCTACGAGTGCATAAGCTCCTAGCAATGCAGTCCACGATACTATGTCCCACTCGGGCATCTCGTGAAAAATGCCAAAACAATGTTCCAGATGCCTTGCCTGGGCAAATCCTTGAAGAGCCACATTCCATGAAGCAATATCCCGTTGAGGCATTGCTAGAAACAAATCGAAAGAACTACCTTGATATTTGGAGTCCACATAAGCGGCCATCATGCCATTCCAGGTTACTAACCGCCGAGATGGCATGGATCAAAGACATTTCGTGCTTAACGTAGATGCCCGACAGCGGCATATGCTGTAGCATAATCGTGAGAGATGTTGTGCTCGGGCATGGAATCAAACCAGTGACGTGTTTTAGATATCTTTAATTTTTGAGAATAAATCTGGAGAATAAGATTCCAGGAAACTATATCCCTTGTCGAAGATTCTTTTAGCATTTTCTAGATGCCCATTGCGCGCTTGTACCATGGCATTCCACGTCACCAGGTCCATGGTAATAGCGTTCTCCACGCTATCTTTGTGTTCCAGGTAATTAAATCCCTCTCAGGTTTTCTATCAAACGTTCGCTTGGCCTTTTCCAAATGCCCAGAAACTGAATATGCTGTAACTATGGAATTCCAGGATCCAGTGTCGCGATCTGGCATTGATCGAAACAATTGCTCTGCCCCGGAAAGATCTCCAAAGTTACTGTAAGCTTGGATCATGATGTTCCAGGAAACAGATCTCAATTCTATCAAACAAATCCTTCGCTTGGAAGAATTGTCCGCACCGTGCATAGGCGGAGATCATGATGTTCCAAGAGTGAAACGCTCCTGAGCTCAGGTATCCTCTCAAAAATCTCTCTTGCAGCGTGGAGATTGCTGTTCTCGGCAAACGCCGTGATCAATGCATTCCAGGAAACTTGGTTTTTGTGAGGATTCATCTGGAACGCGAGCATCGCGTCCTCAGCACGGCCATTCTGAGCACAAGCGGAGATCATGATGTTCCAGGAGAAGGCATTGGGCTGCGCAATGGAATTGAAAACCTCCTTTGCGCTCTGGAGATCACCACACCTCCCATACATTTGCACCGCCAAATTCAAGAGAAATCTATCACTGTGATGACTGCTGCTCGGCAGAATCCTCGCGTGGAGCCGCCTGGCCTGCCCCAGATCCCTGGCAATGCCGCAAGTGCGCAAGAGCACTGCGAGTTCTTCCCGCTCGCTCAGTGTGTAGAACTTAAGGGTTTATGTATTTGGTCTTCAAATATTCATTACCAAATTATAATAAAAAAATCGTGAACTCCAACCCTAATTTTGATTAATAATCCAAAAATGATTGAATTCAAAATGGTACTATTTAAAGTGCTTTATTTTTTAAAAGTGCCCTAAACACTATTTGGAATTGTGTTTTTAAAGAAGGTGCCTTAAACAACATTTAATACTTAATAGTGTTTTTAAAGTGCCTTTTGGATATATTCATTTAATGACCAAACAGTGTATTTTAGGTGCCTTAGACACCATTTAGTCACCTGGACAATCATAAAAAAGAGAAAATGGTGTATAGGGCACCTAAAATACACTATTTAGTCATTGAATAGTGTATTGAGTAACCATGAAAAATACCATTTGGTACTAAATAGTGTTTTTTGGGTTTTAATTGGAAACAAACAATCTATACACCATTTACATGCACAATTAGAAAAAGATTGAGTTGTTTTTGTCATGGAGTTAGAAAAGGCTCAAACCCATTTATAGTGTTAATTGACTGTCACATTCAAATGTGTTATAAGTGATTACATTGTTTATAGATTTCAAGATGTAATGATCTCCATATTTTTACAAAGAAAGTTTTATAAAAGTCTTATAATATCATGACCAACTTTGGAGAGATATGAGTGTTTAATCTTGAAAAACTCATTTGATGAAATTGCATGATCTAATTAGATGTCCTTCAAAAGTATAAATGACAATAATGATGCATACTAACATGCTAGATATTATTTTGAATAAAGGATTTCCAATAAATTTTTAGCATAGACTCTATAAACATCATAATCATGCAAAATGAGCAATATTCTATGTTTAAAGAATTCTTATAAGTGATTAACAATATACATGTTTAAACCCTTCACTACATATTTTAATATGTACGACCAAGCAATATTGAATTTCAAACGTTTTCAATGTGGAGCGCCACATTTTGTTTGGACACGCTACTTTAAAAGAGGGCTCACAGCTCCTGTGAGGAACCATCGAAGTAGAAGAAGCTCTTAGTTTGTCTCTCTTTGTTTTCATGCTTTTGAAGTGAATCTCATGGCTTCCACTCAACTTAGAAATTACTCTTCGTGCTTCCCTAGGAACAGCTTCAAGCCTGCAAGGCCATTCTTGGTTGTTGCAAGTGCCGTGAGATTTGCTCCAAACAAGAACAATGAAGATGTTTCGCTTGTAATTGGCAGCAAAACAAAGAAAGTAGATGTCTCCATGGAGAAAGTTCTGGTCAAGGAGCTAGAGCAGGCATACGAAGTCTCGCCCATCAAAACATAATTTACATGAAGAATGAAACCTGTGCATGGCACTGCAGCATCTCCATCCTAGTAACTATCCACCGCTTTGCGAGTTTTGGGTGACAGGGGCAGAAATCCCAACCAATTGTCAACGCCTTGCAGCTCTTGCCACTTACACCATAGGCGACCACTAGGTTGTCTGAGCGCTCGCTTTTCATGAATCTTCAATGCGAATTGGAAAGATTTGTAGGTAGACAAGTGGAATCCTTCACATCTAAACACTGTGGATGTGAAGGCGGGTCAATGATCTTAGCGCTGCTGGGAGCGGCAGCCATGGCTGCCATTGTGATAAAAAATTCCAGTTTCATCGATGCCTATTATACCGAGTCAAAATCCTTTCACTTTGTACTGAATTTGAAACTTTCAAACTGAAACGCTCGAGCTCATCCAGACGAAACCTGTCACTCTTCGACATTGACGAATTCTTTCTTTATGCAAATCCACTCATTATTGTATTCACAACTTGTACAAATCACTGCCAACTTCAGGCTCCGAAATATGCTGTTTGTCACTAAACATTGTTCTTTACGCAATGCATGCCAACTTTCGTTACTCTCTTTCCATAGCACAGTCCCTCAGTGACGTCGATGATATTTGCAACAATCTTCGTCGTCTCCATCGTGGGGTTCCCTGTGAGGCTGCACCCATCTTCCAGATAAATCCTTTACCAGACCCTTGTGCATCTCTTGCCACCAAAAACCCGGGATACCCATTTCCTCGATCAAGAAATCGGCAGCCTTGTTTACCAGCGCTGGATCCCTCTGCGTCATTGAAGAAAACGGCTTGTCTGGGCCGTGATACCCATCTAAGAGATGCAAGTGGGCTTCCAAGTTGTGATGCCAGGACGGATTCATCGTGTGCTGGAGCAATGGAGAGTGCGTGCTGCAAACCTGGAGCTGCTGGCCGACGTGAGAATAGGTCCATGGGAGCTTGTCGATCACCGCCCGGATGAATGCGAAGCTCTTCTCGTTGAAGAAGATCCCCGGAGTTTTGGGGACCAAGTCCTTCTCGTTGACAACGCGAAGGACTTTGATACCGAGCGAGTCGCATCGATCACGGAACGCATCGTTCCCGACCCGGGGGGCGGCAAAGGAGAAGACGGTGACGGGGATGTTGTTGGTCGGATCGTCGTCGATGTTGTGAGGCCGGGGGAGGCTCTCGAAGATGGGGTCCATGGTTCCGGTCGGAGCTCCCTGCTGCTCGCAGTAGCTCCCGGACACGACGCTCGTGAGGGGCTCGTCCATGCCTGACTCAGCGATATCGTAGGCGCTGAGGAGCGCCAGGGCTCCGCCGAGGCTGTGCCCAGTCACCGTGATGCTCAGCTGCTCGCCCTTGTAGAGACCAACAAGGCGATGGATCTCCCACAGCAGCTGCTCGCGGGCACTCCGGTTCTTCTTCTTCTTGGCACTCTTCTTCTTGGACGTGTACAAGTGGAGGAAGCCATTCTCCACCTTGACACCGTCGAGGAACGAGCACTTGTTCTTGTCCCAGTGTCGCTGATCCAGCCCCGCGGGTGTGAGAAAGTCCTTGAAGTTCTCGGACCACTCGATCGAGGTGACGGTCCCCCGCCAGGCAACGACGATGTCTCGCCTCCCTAGCCTTGCGATCTCTTTCTCGCAGGTAGCCACTGCGACGTAGCCGATCCAGTTGGAGTCCCGGTTGGGAGAGTCCGAGGCCTCGGAGTTTTTGAAGAAGAATGGAATCTCCGGGTCTGCGGTGGCGTAGAGAAACTTGGTCACTTCGTAGCCTCGGCCCGGTAGATCCACTCGGTCAAACAGCTCTTTCTTGCTATACTTACAGCTTCCGCAGTACTTGGAGCCAGTGTTCATGTCGAAGGCGTCATAGCAAGCTTGAGCAAACTCGCCATAGCGGATGATCTCGGCTCGCAGGCATGGATCGATAGGATGCTCCAGCAGGTCTTCCCAGTCGTTAGCCCCTTGAATTTCTCTCCATCTCTGGCTCAACTTCTTTTCCTCGGCTGGGGGATGAAGCTCCTCCGCTGCCGGAGGAGTTTTGATGGGCGAGACTTTGTATGTCTGCTTTAGCTCCTTGACCAGAACTTTCTCCATGGAGACATCTACTTTCTTTGTTTTGCTGCCAATTACAAGCGAAACATCATCGTTGTTCTTGTTTGGAGCAAATCTCATGGCACTTGCAACAACCAAGGATGGCCTTGCAGGCTTGAAGCTGCTCTTAGGGAAGCACGAAGAGTAATTTCTAAGTTGAGTGGAAGCCATGAGATTCACTTCAAAAGCATGCAAACAAAGAGAGACAAACTAGGAGCTTCTTCTACTTCGATGGTTCCTCACAGGAGCTGTGAGCCCTCTTTTAAAGTAGCGTGTCCAAACAAAATGTGGCGCTCCACAATGAAAACGTTTGAAATTCAATATTGCTTGGTCGTACATATATAGAGTCTATGCTAAAAATTTATTGGAAATCTTTTATTCAAAATAATATCTAGCATGTTAGTATGCATCGTTATTGTCATTTATACTTTTGAAGGATGTTATTAAGCTCTAATTAGATCATGCAATTTCATCAAATGAGTTTTTCAAGATTAAACACTCAAATCTCTCCAAAGTTGGTCATGATATTATTAGACTTTTATAAAACTTTCTTATGGAGATCATTACATCTTGAAATCTATAAACAATGTAATCACTTAT